TCATCATATATAGACAACATAGATTAATTATGACAGAACGTACAAAAAAAACGATTTATTTCTTAGAAAAGTAATATTTTGATTAAAATGACATATGTTTTTTTTAATATATATGTAGATGTTTATTAGAAAGATTGAAAAAGAAATTTAAAAAAAATCGATAATAAAAATGTGCTCACTGTCTTGTTGTTTTATTCATTCATATATACAACAACTAAAAAAAAGAAAGAAAATACTTTTCTTTTTTGTAATCATTCAAATTTTCTCGTTATTTATAATATTCTTCTTTATCGTATATATTTAGTTCAAATTGATATAAGGAATAATATGTTTACAAGCTTAGCTAAATCATGAATACAATAGTTTTATATATAGATTATGTATCTATAATCTTCTTTTCTTTTATAATAATTTTCTTTTTTTTTGTAATAAAAAAAAAAACATTAGTATATTTGATAAATGACAATTTTTGTATGACATAAAAGTATTAAAAAGAATAGACAATAGAATTTTCATTCAAATCAAGAAAAAACCTTTTATTTTCATTATTCACAATCAATTTTCTTTATATACTACTCACTTTATTGAATGTAGATTTTTACTTGTTTATATTTATACTGATGTGATGATGTACGGTATGCTCATTAAAGACACAGTATATTTGACCTTGGATGTAAACCAAAAAACCAGTTCGTCTCCTTTTTACATCTATCGTTTAATAACAATAATAATAATATCTTGCTTCTTTTCTTCTTTCACTCTCTCTCTCTCTTTTCCTTTTGGCTAAATAGAATGAAAAAGAATAAGTACGCAAGAAAAACAGGATGGAAAATATTATGCTAGGAATTTGATTTTGAAGTCGAGATGCATACGTATAGTATTCAATAAATTTAAAAGAACTTGAAAAATTTATTTCACTACTATAATATTGCATGTTGATTTTATGCTAATGAATAGCTTTTACATCGGTGAGTAATGAATCTAAATCATAAATGATTCTGACTTTTAAACAAAAAAGAAAGAAAGAAAGAAAGAAACCGAGTTGACATGTTAATCATAGTTGTCATCGAGTTAAGATATATTTTCTTTATCTTTATGTCAACATTGCGTGTATACAGGTATTGTCACGTAATATGTTAGTTTATGACAAAGGAGATGAAATAGAAATATCTAGTAAATCATGAGAGACATTGTTCATACTGACAAAATCAGTTTATTTTATATGAAGAAAACATATAACGACAAGATTGTATCTTATTATCAGAAAAAAATCTGCTAATTTAGTTCCTAGTCAAGCTAGTCATAGGCGAATACTCAGCAAGTACTCACGCTATAAAATACCACAGAATTTATGACTTTTGAGTAGTCATCAGTGGTACTTGTGCTGAGATCCGAGTATCTGACTACGATAATCGAGTACTAATCTTGTAATAATAATTATTCGTTTGTAATATTTGTGTATTGCACCGATATATGTAAAAGGCTTACAGGCTTATATTCTATTCAAAACTATTGTAGCATACTTGTTTCATTTAAAATATACAACTAACCTATAAAACAACAGATACATATAATGAATGTTTTAAGAAAAAAGTAATAATAAATTTGAGTACTAAAGGTATATTATTTTATTATTATAATTTTCAATATACACAATAGATATAAACTTTTCCAGCTTAAAAACCAGACTAAGAATATCACTGAATAATAAAGACTCTTGATTATTTCAAAAACAGCTCAACTGGGTATTTTTACACTAATGACTATGGTTTCATCTAGTGAATTTATAAAAAAATAAATAAAATTTTGAAATTATTCACTTACAGTATTGTGGATATGTCTTCATAATTTGAAATTGCAATCGATTTGTAAGAAAGAAATGTTTAATCATTAATTGTTGCATCAATTTACAATCTGAAAAAAGAAAAAACGACACTATTTCATTAGAAACACATTTTTTGTATCTACGATTTATTGCATTGTGTTGTTTTTCTTTATTACATAACTTCAATTTATTGTTAAACGTACGTGTTCATAAGTGTTTTAATGAATATCCTTCGAGACAACAATGATGAATACCATATTGAGTACTTCTGCTTTCGTCTATAAGTAAATCTTTAAGAAAAAAAACTCATATGAGTACTCATAAGAAAACACATTACTAATGAATATTCTTAGAACGATTCTCTTTTTGCTCACCATTCAAAATTTTTATCGGAACCAAAAAAAAGATTTTGACTATTTAGCGAGATCAATATAAACTAAATTTTGGCTGATGAAAGAGGTGTCTCTCTGATAAGATTCTTATGTTCTTGAATTCTTACTTGATTCTCTTTTTTTGCTTCTTTCTTGCATACTTGTCTGATTCTTATGATTTAAGTGTAGATTTTACTATACATCAATACAAATATTTTCTTTTTTCAATTTTAATAAACAAAAACAGAGGTAAATAAAATAACTAATGTGTACACCGAAAGGTTCTAGAGAAAATATTGGACAATGCTTTTCACGTATTTAAATGAATTGATAGTGCATTAGAATTCTTCTAGGCTTCCATGAAACCTATTTTTCTGTTTTTCGTCTTTTCAACAAAAAATGACCCTCTGTCACACAACTTCATCTTTGTTTAGTAGATTAACCAAATTCTCGATTCTTATGTCATTTTGTAAGGAAGAGATCACTATTAGATTCTATGTATTTACAGAACTTATTTGATGTAGACTTGCCGTCAGAAGAATTACGATTCTTGTCTCTCGAGAATATTCTTTTTAGTCCTGACAAGACTTACTTATAAATCAATAGTCAAAAGTCATAGAATAATTCTAGGTACATATACACTACCAATATATTTAAATACACGAAAAAAATAATAGTCAAATATGTTGTTAAGAAACTTTCAGATTGTCTCTTAGAAGAAAACTATTGGCAACCACTTGACTCACTAATAAGTCAACAAATGCATTGTTTTTTTATTCAATATGTTTATTTATCTGACATTGACATACATTTCATACTTTGCCAGAAATGCATGTTGAGATCAAATCTCAAATTTGACTCTGAAATTGTTGTTGGATCGACAACGTTTTATTTATGGGCTACAACAATATTGATAGCATTTGTTGTTATAATTTTCGATGAACACAATCACAATGAGATCAAATACATTTTATATGTCAATAAGGACATAATGAAAAAAATTTTTTTTTATAACTATTTAAATCAAACTTTTATGATCGACCAATGATACACAATGGAAGTATCATCATCGCGTCGCAGTCCATTGAAAAAATCCAAAATTCAATATCAATTTCAGGACCAATATTGACTTATCATTTAAGTTTTTTTCTTGATTAAAGCTTGAATCAATTCGAATTCAGATCTTAGATTGGATAGACATTGTGTGATGTTAGTTTTGAAGAATAGACAAGAATCTGTTTTCTTTCCTGTCGAAAGATGCTTGATTGAACTTCAAGAAATCTTAAATAGCTTATATAATACTATATCGAGGTTCTTATATTCTTGATCAATCAAACAAGATTCCTTTCATCTATAACTTCAGGTTAGTGTCTCGCTTTCATTCCTGTTAAAAGAAGCTTGTTTGAACGTGAGCATACCTTAAATATATTGTAATACTTTCCAGGTTCTTATTATCTTGATTAATGAGACAAGATTATTTATTTTTATGTTGAAATTCTAATAAAACGTCTTATGTCTTTCCATCAGAGGAAAATTTTTCAATCATGATTTTGAAAACTACTGGTCCAAGAAAATTGATTAATAATTAAATTGCACGACTACTCGCATGAATAATTTTCGTACGCATGCTAAAAAATCTGAACCATTGAATGAGTAAATGTACTAGGAATCCTTTTGCATTATGTAGAAAAATATTAATATATCAGCAGTAGAATTGTTTTTATATGCATATTAATGCAATGAAGACTTTGTCAAATCTCTTATGTAGTCGCATTCATTATTCTTAAAACTATGCCTTTTATTAAAATTCCATCTCAAGTAGTTGGAAATTCTTTCTTAATCCATTATAATAATGAATATAATTTTCACATATAAAAGGATGTATTTTAGACAAGACAATCGGACAACAATTCAAGATGAATGTAGTCCATGGGTTAAGGATCATCCATAAAATATGTCTAGGTAAAAAATCACATCTTTTGATCTCACCTATGTCTAGATTTGTTCATCTTTTTCGATCCGTTCCTCTTCTACTAGATCCCCAGTATAAAGAAAATTCACTTTCTTGAAAGAACTTGCTCACTCAAATATACAACTTCCTTTTTATTAAATAGCAGTTCATTACAAGGAGTGTGATTGTGAGTTTTTATGGTTGCGTCGTCTATTCACACACATTCAAGATCGAAACTAGGATTGGAATCACGAAAAAAAAAAATTTGTCAAGGTCCGAACTCAAGTTTATAAGAAAATATTCTATGGTTTTAAGCAAATTATGTTATAAATCAGAACATAATTCAAGAGAGATGACTCAAACTAATGCTAGTCGTCAATTAAATGAATAAAAAAAACGAGTATTGAAGAATTATTTTAGATATGATGGGAATAAATTCTATAATAGTCTTCTCTAGGCCGCGGTCAGGAATACTCCAGATTTACTGGCAGTAAAAAGGCTTCATCCCAACCATCTTTAGTCTGAACGTCTTTCATTGATGATCCCTTATAATTTTATGAATAATCATTTTTTGCAACATTCTATGATAACAATATAAAAAA